GGGACTGAGAAGGGTGCGTGAGAGTCTTTGTGACCGGAACATAGAGTGAGTGTCCTTTGCAAAGCGTGCTTTGCTGTAGCTTTCTGGTGTCACTGACCCGTGGGTCCAGGGTCTCGGTTTCCGTCTCCTCTCAGTCTAGTATGACTGCCACAGAGAAATGATCCAAGCGGGAAATCAGATACTGAGCCTTAGATGAAGGTTTCCAGTGAGAAGAAACAGGATGGGAAGCTTAGAGCAAGAATTGCCCTTAAGACAGTGTGATAGACTCTGTTAGAGAAAAAATATTCAGTCAAACTTCTTAAAGCATGCAAAGGAAGACTTGATTCAGGATCATCGCGATAGGTATTGGAAGTACAGCAGTGAGATTTCGCAGTGGGTGAAAGAGATTGGGTTCAACCCCAAATTCAGCATGAACGAGCGGGACTTTATAATCAAGGAGCAGGTCAGGGATCACTGGATGACAAAATACTAAGAGGAAATGTCTGCGATAAGTAGGATTCTGGCTAAACACACCTGTTGGGATTCTTTTTGGAGAGAGAGACCTGGGTGATAAGACATCATCACCTGGGGGATGGTGGAGGGTGAAGATACGGGGGCAGAGGGTTCCTGCTAAACTGGCTTAGAAGGGGTCTTTGCTATTATTGGATTTTACAGTGAAGTGTACTGATGGGCCCATTAGAAGGAGTAAGAGCCTGAGTAAAGTTTGATCAGGCATAGTTTGTGTAGGATTCCTTCCTGGAAGGGTTATACACTCCGTCCCCATCTCCCGGTTCTTGGACTTTCATTTACATGTTTAAGAAACCGGCCTTCTTGAATTCTGACCCTAAGAACCTTCAGTGAAGGATGATTGGAGAGTCCACCCGCCATACTTCTTTCTGCTTATGTGTATGAAATTATATAGCTTTGGAGGGGGAAACAGAAACACTATTTTGAGGCGTTTTTGGATTGTCCGTTTTGGACTTCTGTAGATTGAAAGCAACAGGAATATGAACTCAGTTGTGATGTGTCCTTGCAAATGAAGGAAGTGAGCCAGAATGTAAGTGTCCCAAAATAGGAATTCTTAGTCATTGGGTCCATTGTCTGTTTTCTTGGGCATGCAGGGCACCACAACCCCCCTGAAACTCTATATATATGTTTGCTAATTTGCATTTTTCCAGGGTTCTGTCATCCAAATTATTTAGACTTGAGCTTTAGATCTGGAATCAGAGTGTTATACCTTTGAATGGTTTTGCAGAAAACTAATGATCAAGATTATGAGAATGGTTAAGAAAATCATACAACATTCATGAGATTGGACATTATACTGATAATAAAATTTATGCTTATAAAGAATTTGTGAATAGCTGCATACCAGGTATCAGGAAAACAAAACATAATAAGAATTTGTCATTTACGGAAAAATGGCTATGATCTAACCTTAAATAGGATTTATAGTTACAGGTCGCAGTTCTCAAAAACCATATATGCAGGCCATTTTTAAAAAATGGAAGTTTGCAAAACCTTTCGAAAGGATTGTATCTAATATGACCATTCAATTGGTTCTTCAGAAAAGAATAGAAGCGGAGAGGCCACATTTATTGAACATCTAATATGTACCCAAAATCATGTGGTCTGTTTTCTGTGTCTTTTGTCATTAAATGTGCAAAGGCCATTTTCCTGTTCATTAAGGGAAGAATCTTTATAGTGAGATGTTTCTAATTATGTAGAAGTGGCACAGCTAAAGGCTATTCAAGAAAACACAATGTTACATGGTTCCATCACATTGATATTTTTTAATTCTAGGACTACTATTTAGCTTTCTTATAATGACAGAAATGTACCCTTTTCCCATAATGATAGTTTAAAGTTTAATACTTTGAAATGTATTGATGTTCTATTTGTAATGATGAAATTAAGACAGGTTCATTGCAAAAATTTCATTACTGAAGGAAGTTATGAAGAAGAAATAACCCCAAATGCCGCCTGCCCAGAGAAAATCACTTTAACATTTTTGGTGTATGTGTTTCTAATTTTCATGTATGAACATTTGTGTGTAGTTTTGTCATTGCAGAAGAGAATTAATAGAGACACAAAGACTCCAACTGTTAGTTTGAAAATAGAATCTCCCTCAATTGTTGGTGTTAAACCAAAATTATGGTACGGTATTGCTTTCGACTGAGCTTCGGCACTAGGCTCCAACAGACTAGTCTGAATCAAAATGAAGTCATTCATGTTAAATGCCACATTATCAAACTGAAACTTCAAGGGAGCAGATGAATTTCAAACCTGTTTTTCCTGAAAACAGAAGATTCCAGTCTAAATAATTGATGTTCACCAATCTTTTATTTTTATTTTTATTTTAAAAAATTTATTTCAAAGACTGGGTCTCACTCTGTCACCCAGGCTAGAATGCAGTGGAGTGATTATGGCTCACAGCAGCCTCAAACTCCTGGGCTCAAGCGTTCCTCCCTCCTCAGCCTCCCATGTAGCTGGGACTACAGGCATGAGACACCAGGCCTCAGTTCTTTTTTCTCTAGTTCTGTTATTTGTTCCTACCTTACACAAAACCCACTGTTCCACCACAGTGTGTAATGAGGGCAGGGACCCTCATTCTCTTTTATACAATGGAAGCTGCCCCATTTGTGAATCCCAAATAAAAGCCTATGAGATCTATAAGTCAATTTATTGTAACTTTGTCTTTTGACATGGGTTTCCATATATCTGTGCATCTTAGGAGGAGAGGGAAGTACCAGGGACCACCTGAGGTGAAAAACAATCACATATTTACACCTTTTAGATATTAAAAACGTCATTTAACACTCAAGAGGGCACAAATTATGAGGTAAGACATCCTCTCAGAATTAATCATTTATGCTAGGTTCATGTCTGTAAAATCCCAGCGCTTTGGGAGGTTGAGGTGGGTGGATCGCTTGAGTCCAGGAGTTGGAGACCAGTCAGGACAACATGGCAAAACCCTGTCTCTACAAAAAATGCAAAAATTAGCTGGACATGGGAGCACTCGCCTATAGTCTCGGCTACTTGTGGGGGTGAGGTGGGCGGATCGCTTCAGCCCAGGAGGCCCAGGCTGCAGGGAATTTTGTTTGCGCCACTGCACTCCAGCTTGGGCCACAAAGTGAGACCCTGTCTCAAAAAAAAAAAAAAAAGAATAATTTAGAGATGCAAGATTACTTCAGGGAAAATGGCAGTTATATATGATTTCCAGGTGTCTTGCAACTATGAATAATATTTCCAAAGATAGGTTAAATATTATAAAACGTAGTTATTGTAATATTTACAAGTATTTACATAAATGCCCATATTTTGCAGAAAAATAAGTTTCACTATTGTTAATTTAGCACCGTATTGGATCCTGTTCATCGAACATGTATACGAGGCTGAAGGGTGTTTTCTGTAACGTCCGGGGAGTAAGGAAAGGCGCATTTTCTCCTTACCTGTCTTTTTTTTTTTTTTTAACAGTTTTTTTGTTTTTGTTTTTTTAAGTAGGATTGATATTTTCTCAAAGGTGAGCCTTGAAATTTGTAAAATTGGAATTATAAGAGAGAGAAACCAGCCGGGCACGGTGGCTCACACCTGTAATCCCAGCACTTTGGGAGGCCGAGGCCGGCAGATCACAAAGTCAAGAGATTGAGACTATCCTGGCCAACTTGGTAAAACCCCGTCTCTACTAAAAATACAAAAAATTAGCTGGGCATGGTGGCGTGCGCCTATAATTCCAGCTATTTGGGAGGCTGAGGCAGGAGAATCCCTTGAACTCTGGAGGCGGAGATTGCAGTGAGCTGAGATTGTGCCATTGCACCCCAGTCTGGGCAAAAAGAGCGAAACTCCATCTCAAAAAAAGAAAAAAAAAAAAAAAGAAAGA